AAATTAGGTTTCCTAAACTAGGATTTAATTCTATTCCATGATTATTAATTTAATTATTTTTTTTTCCAAAACGATAGGTTTTATAGCTCAAGAATTTGTACAAAAGGGGGGCTAAATAGCCCAATATACATCCACAAGAACGAAAGAGGCACTACAAGGCCTAGAAATCAAAACTACTAAGCAGATAAGTCCATAATCCCCAGCTAATACAAGGCTTAGAAACTGGGGTTATGTTCCTATCTCGCTCAAAACACAAAAGACTTAGATCACTGGCCGAGCCCTAATCTAAGACAACTGCAACAAACCCAGACAGAATAAAAAGCAACAAAACCCAAGAGAAAAAAGCATGCTAAGAAACTAAGCCAGCAAAAACAACCAAGAAGACAAGACAAGCCAAGAAGGAAGGCAGCAACCAACAGAAACTAGAACTATTACTTCACCATTCTAAATTCCATCCACTCCTCCATTGCAATACTGACCATTGATCTTTCTGGTCTCCATAGGCTTTGGAACACCCACTGATTCCTAGCTTTCCACATCCACCAGAGTAGGTATGTGGTTAGCTGTATCCTGTCCTCATTAATAGCAGAGCAGGGGATGGTACACATTGATGACCACCAGTGACTGAAATAATCAGAGTGTTTCTTCAAGCCTTCCCAGCTGATTGGTGCAAGACTCCAGATTTTGGCAGCTGTAGGACAGGTAAAAAAGAGGTGGGTGATTGTTTCAGCTTCTTCCCCACACCTTGCATCTTTCCTCTATATGAATGCCCCTCTTTGCCAGATTGACGCTTACAAGCAAAATATTGTTTAGGCACTTCCAGATGAAGTGCTTAATTTTCCCTTTAACTTTCAAGCCCCATAGCCTTTTCCTCATACCCCTGATCTCAGAATGCCCCCTACTTGGCTCAGCAATATCCAAGTTCTTCCATTTTTCCTTCACCAGATAGTCATAAGAAGCAGCCACTGAGTGTGTACCCTTTTTACCACAGTGCCAGATCATTTTGTCCTCCTCCCCTGGGTTTAAACTTTTCACTTTCAGGATGGCAGCTTGTTCTTCTTCTGAAAAGAGATCTTGCAGAACATTTCTCTTCCAATTTCTCCCTATCACATCAATCAATTCACTTACCAAGCTGATGTTGGAGTTAGCAGGAGGTCTGCTCTTAGGTTTAAAACCAGGTAGGCCAGGAATCCATGGATGATCATAGATCTTGATTCTGCTTCCTTTTTTAACTTCATATCTCAGTCCCAGCTGGAAGGTGTCTCTCACTTTGAGCCAGCTGTGCCACATCCATGATCCTGTTTGTTTGTGATTAACTGTGAAGAAGTTGTCACTGGGGAAGTATTTGGCCTTCAAACATTTGCTGACAAGGAGGTTAGGCTGAGTGAGGATCCTCCATAATTGCTTGGTAATCAGAGCTTTTTTCATTAATTGGTTATCATGGAAACCAATTCCTCCATTGTCTTTAGGCAGGGTCAAAAGATTCCAGGCCTTCCAATGTATTTTCTTGCCTTCAGAGTGACCTGAGTTCCACCAAAAAGCAGCAAATTTGTCTAGCAATATTTGTACAGACAGCTTTAGGGATGAGAAAGCAGGACATAGAGTACACTGGCAAAGCATTAAGAACTGCCTTAAGGAGAACTTCTCTACCAGCAGCAGAGAGAAATCTGTTCTTCCAATTTTTAATTCTCTTATCTACAGCATCTGGTATGAATGAGAAGGTGTCAATTTTACTACCCCCAATGCCAAGAGGCAACCCTAAATATCTAGAGGAATTTTGGGTAGAGATTCCTAGAAGGCAGTTACAAATAGAGACTTTCAGGGGGGTTGAGGCATTTTTGCTGAAGAAGATAAAGGATTTAGAAAGGTTCACTTTTTACCCAGTTATTTTTTTATAATCAGCCAAAATATCAAGGATAGAGTTGTCTTGAGAAAGATCAGCTTTGGCAAGTAACAAGGTGTCATCAGCAAAGAATAAGTGGGATATCTTGGGCCCATTCATGGAAAGTTGAATACCAGAGACACTTCCTTTGAGGGTTTCCCTTTTGATCAGATGAGAAAAGATTTCAGAAACCAGGATGAAGACATAAGGGGACAGAGGGTCCCCTTGTCTTATACCCCTCGAGGGAGTGACATACCCACAAACTTCCCCATTCACATTGAAGGAAAAAGAGGCAGATGAAATACAAGATACAACCCAGTTAACAAACATAGGGCAATAGCCCAATTTCAACATGATAAGGCTAACACTACTCCACTCAATTCTATCAAATGCTTTTTCCATGTCCAATTTCAGAGCCATATAAGAATTAGGACCATTCCTGTGTCTATTTAGAAAGTGAATAATCTCATGGCCAAGAATCACATTGTCCAGAATTTGCCTGTTAGCCACAAAAGCTGCTTGATTGACACTTATGCAAAGAGGGAGACAAGGTTTGAGCCTTTGAGCAATTAATTTGGAAATGACTTTATAGACCACATTACACAAACTGATAGGTCTGTAGTGGGAGATTTGCTCAGGGTTAAGAATTTTAGGGATTAAGGTGATGAGAGTATGATTTATGCTTTTAAGAACTTTACCAGAAGCAAAGAAACTTTTAACAACAATACAAAGCTCAGAGCCAATAAGATACCAGAATTTTTGGAAAAACAAAGAAGTCATACCATCTATACCTGGGGATTTTCTAGGATTGATGCTGAAAAGGGCAGCACTTATTTCATTATCCTCAACAGGTGCAATGAGCTCTGAGTTCATTTCTTGAGTGATGACTGGTTCCATGTCCCTCAGAAGTCTGTCACCATCCTGAGAGCCCTCTGAACTGAATAATTTATCATAAAATTGCTCAATACAACCCTCCAGCTGCTCTTTCTTCTCATAAATTTCTCCATTTTCTCCAGTGAGTTTAGAAATTTTGTTCCTCTTCCTTCTCTGCATAGTCTTAGCATGAAAATATTTTGAATTTTTATCCCCATGCTTAAGCCAGGAGATTATGGCTTTTTGCTCCCAATGCTGTTCCTCTTGCTTATATGCATCATCCAGATCTTTTTTCACCTTATCCCATTTCACCCAATCAATGAGTTGGCCATCTTTCCTCATCTCAGAAAGTTCATGATTCAGTCTGGAGATTTTCCTAGCATCTTCAGTTTGAAAAGTACTGCTCCATTTCAATATTTCCACTCTCGTTTCCTTGATTTTTTGTTGGAATTGGTACATTGGATTTCCTTCTTGGAATTTAGCCCATCCTTTTTCAACAGTCTCAGTTAACCCAGGCCGTTGCAGCCATCTTCTATCGAAGATAAATCTTCTTTTCTTGTGCAAGAATTTTTGAGAGCAGTCAAGCATCAACATGCTGTGGTCCGAGACACTTTTGAAGATGTTGTGAACTGCTGCATTAGGGTAGGCCGCAGACCACGCGAGAGAACCAAATATTCTGTCCAGTTTTTCCTCTACAAAACCTTCTCCCACTCTATTGTTGCCCCAGGTGAAGGGGTGTCCCACCATGCTTATTTCTAGCATCCCCATTCTGCTTATGAAATCTCTAAAATTAGAATAGGAGCTGCAGGGTCTTGTTTTTCCCCCTTTCTTTTCTTCAGGCAATAGAAGATCATTCATGTCTCCTCCTAAGAACCAGTGGCTGCCCCACTTCTGCTTAGCTCCCTCAAGATAGGCCCATTGACTCAGTCTGCTCTGCACATCTGTACTAGCATATATGAAAATACCCCAGCAAATGCAAGCATGCTTCTCATCCCAGAACTCCAGCTCCATACAGAATTGGTGCTTAATGATATTGAACACCTGAATATCACTATCCCAGCAAACAAAAAGTCCCCCACTCTTCCCCAATGGCTCAACTGAGGACCAACAGTTACTAATAGCTAGATTATTACAGACAGTCTGAAGAAATTTGTTGTTTTTTTTTTTGTTTCTGAAAGAAAGAGAAAATTTGGGTGATGGAGCCTCCAAGTCTCCTTGATTTGGGAAACTGTAGAGGGGCCACCAGCACCTCTACAGTTCCACACTACAACCTTCATTGTTCACTCTGTGGCCCTAGAAGGCTGGCCACATTCACCTTAGTTTGGACTGATTACTGTTTCTTGTTCTGGGTATTTGGTTTCGGATCTTGTTGATTAACTTGGTTATCATCTCTCAAGATATCCAGGATTGCTTTTTTCCCTCTAACTCATTTCGGTTTGGTTATAGCAGGTGAAGCCGGGATTTGTTTCCTTCTCCAGCCACTGGGTTTTTTGTGGGGAAGATTGGCTAATTGATTAGAGATAAGGGGAGGGGAATGTTGAATAGGTTCAGCTACCAGGGGAGCAGATTGCTGGATAACAACATCAAACAGAGGTGCTTCAGTATCCATTGGCTGGTTTGGTGGTTGGGGCTCAGAAGAAGGGAGGGCATGGGTTAATGTCAGAGGATTATTAGGTAGTGAGGGGGGAGGTGGGTGTAAATTGGTTTCAGGTTGCATATCTGGCTGAATGATGGGTTGGTTACTATTGGAACGAATATTCTCATGCTCTGATTCATTAGGAGATTTGGTAAAAGTGTTGCTTCCTGAAAGGGGATCCCCATTATTGTTGAACTGGCTCAGATGGTTAGAGAAGAAGTGTTCTGGGGCTTTGAGCCAATCCCCTTACTTCCCTGCTTGGAGCATGTTCTGAGTTATGTCCTCCGATCTAGCATTGCAATTCTTGTCTATGTGCCCCAGCAACCCACAATAATAACAGAGGCTCACTAACTTCTCATACTTGAACTGGACAATGATTTTCTTGCAGCCATGTTGAATAGTAGCACACCTGAGGACCGGTTGGTTGATGTCCATGGATATCAAAATCCTTATGCATTTCCCTGCTAAGGTCCCCCCCTGAGGCACTTGGACGTCCTTGATTTTTCTGAATGCTTTACCAATCTTCATACCAACTTCCGGCGACATCCATTTCAGAGGGATATTCCAAGCTTGCACCCAAATATCAAGCTCTTTGAACTCGGGGTGATCTGGAGAAAAGTCTTCTCTCCAATCTCTTAGGATTAGAAATTGGCCTTCAAATGTCCAACAAACACCCTTACTCACTTTATCTTTGTCTTCCTTATTGGAAAAGAGGAATTGAAAAAAGTTTTTGCTAATTTCCCGGACTGTGACAGGGGCTCTAATTAGCCACATTTGGTTGACAGCTCTTCTAAGCCCTATAATTCCGGCTGTTTTTTGGCCAATAATTTTCCCAATCAGGCTTTTATTGCAGTCGTCCGCACTCTGGTGGATATCACCATCTACGATATTGATGATATTGGCTTCATTCTCTGATAATTGGAAGGCTCCAAGCTTTTGAGAAATGTCTTCCGCCATGAACTCAGAGCCCAGCGCACTCTAGAGGAATCCGAAATCTGAGAGAGAAGAGAGAGCACAAAGAGAAGAGAAGGACAGACAAAAAAAAAAGGAAAAAAGGTTAACGACAAACCCTAGCAGAAATGGCTCTTAAAATTGGACATAAAACGCGATAATTAATACAGACGCCCTAAATGCATTTAATAATTTCTGAATGTATTTAAAAACCCCAAATTAATGAGGATGAGGAAGCATAACGCTGATGAACTCTGCACTTGAGAGGATTTGGCTCTCATGAAGAGAGGATGAACTCTGCAATGGTTTAGGGAAGACATTTGTTATTAGGAAAGGAAATTCCTATAAGGATCTTCTCTAGTGTTAGAAGACTTAGGAGTCTTCTAGAAGAGATAGATTCGTAGGAGATCTCCTTCCTAGATTGAGTTAGTATTGGATTAGAATTAGGAGTCCTAGGCCTAATGGAATAAGCCCATATTTAGCACCTCCTTAAGGTCCCTAATGGAGCCTATATATACACCATGTCCCAACCATTCCTACAATGTTGTCTTGGCCGAATTTCTCATCTAC